TTACATATAACTTGTTTATTTTCATTGTATTTTTCAGATCCTTCGACTTCTTCACAGCCTCACTCAGGTATAAGAAATTGATTTGTATTGACAATATTTAAATTTGCATTTGTTTATTATCATTGCATATTGTTTATTCTTATTGTATCTCACAGGTCATGTTAGTTCTTCATCAACCTCGAGTAGGCGTGGTAGAGGATATGCCAAGGGCATTAGGGAGTGGGGTACCGGTACCAAATTGGACATACAATTTGATGAAAATTACTGTCCAATAGGGGATAACGTGTCTAAGTTAACTACTCAACTTGGCATTATTGTGCGAAATGGTAACATTGTTCCTCTTACTTTTCTTGACTGGAACACTGTGCCTGATGATATTCTTGATGCTATCTGGAAGGATGTGAAGGTAAAAGTATATTTTTGTCCAAAAATTTAAATTCCAAAATTGTGTTATTATTATTTAAACCTTGAAATTGTGTTTTATAGGACAATTTGAATATATGTCCAGAGGAGTACAAGCCAATCTGCATGAAAAACTGTAACAGCATATGGAAGGATCACAAGAATAAGATTAAGTCTAAGTATTTCAAGCCTAGAAGCGAAGATCCTAATCTGAAGGATGATGTTCCTTTGCACATTGTGCCAAGCCAGTGGGAAGAACTTGTGGAGTATTGGCGTACTTCCAATGCTGAGGTATACAAATAAGTTATATGTATGATATGTAAACATACAAATAATATTTATATACTTACATTTGTTAAACCTATTATAGAAAATTGCAACTAGGAACACTAAAAATCGGCGAGCTCACGACATAGCTCATACCACAGGGCGTACTACTTTCGCTCAGATACGGCATGAGGTTTATATTTTACTGTTTTATTTTTGTATATAAATAAACATTGTATATTTAGAAATTATTTGGATTCTAATTTTCATATTTCTAAAAAAAAATTTAGATGACCAGTAAGGGGGAGTCTACTGATAAGATGAATGTTTGGCTTATGACACGTAGAGCAGATGACCCAGAGGTTATCCAGACCTTGGTAGTTTCCAAAGACCTTTGATTGTATTTAAAGTTTATTTTTTATTTTTTGTGTTAACTATCTTAATTTGGCATATACTTGTATTTCTTATTCAATACAGGATGAGTTTAATGGCCAACTCTCTATGCTACCTGAGGATTGTCGGACTTTGGAGGCTAGGAATGCCATTTTCCATGAGTTGATAGGTCATGACAATCATGGATATTGTCGCACATACGGGAGAACTGTGCCTCGGAGAGCAGTGTATAAAGATGGTGCAGGGCCATCACAGTCAGCACCCCAGCCATCGACTATTGTTTAGATCACCCAGCAGGTTCGTGCGGAGCTAAGGGATGAGTTGAGGGAGGAGTTGAGGGAGGAGATGAGAGTAGAGTTCTCTATATATTTACAGCAGCTGAGAGCTGAGATGATGGCCTTTGTGTCACATGGGGCAAGTGTGGATCCTAACAGACAGGTTCGATATAAATTAAATTGTTTGATAGTTAAATTGTCACACAACATTATGTATAAAAGATTAACACATTATGCATTGACTATCATAGGCTCCTGATGCATCGAGTGGCCACCGGGCATTTAGGGAATCTGTAGAAGACGAGAATCCATATACACCACCACCAGAAGATCAGGTATAAAATGTAACTTTACATTCTAAGCTAAAATGAATTCGAAGTGTTAACGTCCCAAAATCACCAAAAGGGGTCGGTTTAGCATGGAACTTGGCACACACGACTGCCTAGGCACGAGAGACTTGAGGGAGAAGACGGAACTCCAATCGGGTTTCCGGTTTGGGAGTTAGAGACGAATTTCACTCTATGCAAACTAGTTCTTTAAGAAACTAGAATTCGAGGTGTTAACGTCCCAAAATCACCAAAAAGGGTCGGTTTAGCACAAAACTTGGCACACACGACCGCCTAGGCACAAGAGACTTGTGGGAGAAGACGGGACTCGAATCGGGTTCCCGGTTTGGGAGCTAGAGTCATATTTCGGTTTAGGCAAACTAGTTCTTTAAGAAACTTAAATTCGAGGTGTTGACACCCCAAAATCACCAAATGGGGTCGAATTGGCACGAAACTTGGCACACACGACCGCCTAGGCACGAGAGAAGCCTCCCAGCTATGTCCTTGGAGGTGGCATGCTTCCTGTACCTGAAAATGATATTCCCATATAGGGTGAGCCACAGCCCAGTAGAAATACACTAAACCAACCATGGACAATGACTAAAACATTAGCAATTGATAGTTGATCAACACTGATACAATCACATAAATTACATATTTATGTCAACGACTTACAAGTACCAATATTACTTTTTCATTTTCCCTTTTTCAACAGATAAGCATGCTAGCTCTATCATCATTTCCACAGATATGTATAAAAAATATATCTCACATTCAGATAAGCATAAAAAACTATATCCACATTCTCAACAGATATGTATCAACAAATATCCACAGATAAGCATACAAGCTG